CGGTGAACACCGGCGGTTTGGAGCTGAAGCCAGCGAGCAAAACAGTTCGCATCGTTTCGTTCAGCATGATGCGTAATATTCTCAGTGCATTCCAGATCTGAGCCATCCAGTAATCGTAGTAGAGATGGTATTGCCCATTATACACGATATCGGCATACGTGTCGGTGTAGATGACCTCGTAAGCCCAGCCGGGTGGAGGGTTGGAGCTTATATTCAAGAGAACACCGTCCAATTCGAGGGCTCGAGAAAGGATTTTCCGTGGATCCGTGAGCCGTTTGTGTAATATATCTGAGCGCAGGTTTGCAAATCTCATCATCATTTCCTGGACTCTGAAAGATGGGTCCGGGTTCTCAACAAGCCGAAGTGCATCTTCCATATAATCTTGCATGTGCTTTGGTAGCGGGACCCCTCGATAGATGCAAGTGATGAGCAGACTAGACGTTACTGTGATCATCATGCGGCGACCTGTGGGGGTCAATATCTGGTCTGGACCCCGCAGTTTGATGACGGCTGCAGCGCCGTTGATGTGCTGTGCCCAGTCTTTGAGTGAGGACTGCTTGGAGCCGGTAATGGTTTCGAAGATGCCAAGTATCATAATAGACAGCAGCGTAGTGTCCTTCTTGACATCCACCGGATCTCGAAGAGCGGCGTTTGTCGCTTTGAGTGCTCGATAGTACTCGTAGCGAGCATTTTTGAGTAGAGATGGAGCGTGTACGGAGTGTGCATATCCAGCCAGACCAACGGCTCTCACTAAGGTATATCAGTATAGTTCGTTGTTTATTGCAAAGGGGAATTTGGGGCGGGGTATTAAGGACTCGTGCAGGATACTAGGGCATCTTGGCAAAATAGCGAAAATGCACAGGGTTTCAACGACTTTCAAAGTGTGAGTGTCAAGAGGACCTCAAGACCTGAATACCCAAGAGGACGGCAACGGTTGAAAGCACAGAACAACTGGGAGATTGGAATCAGCTGGGAATGGCACATACTGCTAGAAAGAAGTCCGTCATCAAGGACTTGGGTGCGAGTGACATCAGTCAGATAATCCAGATATCCTTTCGAAGGACCAGACATTCCAAGAACAAAATTAGCAACGAAGAAGCCAGTGGCCCGTTCCTCAATAGTAGGGGCAAGAGAAAAGACCGATAAAGGAGCATCTTCTCGCTGGATAATCTCAAGCGACCCATCTGAGATATCCCAATCATCATCGACTGCCGAAGACGAGGAGCCCACTGCTACTACTGACTGAGGCGGAGAGGCTTTCAGGGTGGCGGCTTGCTTCTCTTTAGCTTCCTTAGCCTTGAACTTCCGGATCACATTGGAGCTCTCGTTGCGGAATATCAGGTCGCCAGGGACTCGATAGCCGGGACATTTGCGTTTCGCCCGTTTACATTGCGTGCATCCTTCAGGGACTTGATCGCACTTAGTCTTCCGTTCTCGACAGGCATGGCAGCCTCCGCTTGGCTTGCCGCAGAAGACCATGCTTCATAGGGTTCGCCAGAAGATCCAAAGAAAGGAGGACCTCGTCGTATGCGGAGTTAGGCTCGGTGCAGTCAGGTTAGGCGGTTGTGGCAAGACAAAGATAGCAAGTATCACACAGGAAAGGAAACAGCCGGCAGGACAAACAGAGTGGTCTGCTCCGTCAACGACCACAGGTTTTCAATCCGAAAGAGGGAACTTGGGAAGCTGATACAAAGTTCGATGCACGTACGTTGATGGATGCTGTGCCGCTGTCGTCCTGTCGTCGTGTTGCGCTAAACCTAACAGAGGCACCATTTCGTAGCATTCTCATCAGCTGATCCACTAGTCTCCCTTCCATCAGCCCTCTTCTCGATTAGTATTCGCCTCGCTGCACTTTGACACATTTCATAGCAGATACCCCAATCTCACAGCCCTGCTGCGTTCTCTAACTGGAAACAGCCATGCTGGCCGAACTACCCTATGAGAGCATTCCTTTCGAGCTCAGCCTCTTGAATTGTGGACGTCACCGCAACCACTGCCCATATGTTGTGATCTAAGTGGATTATTTGGTGGACTTTTGCGTGAAGATGGCTAAAGCTCTTCTCAACTTTCAGATTGCTGCCTCGAACATTTCCTTTTACAGAACTCTATTGCGACGCACTTGCAGTGTGAGATTATACACAACATATCTTGACAATTTTTCATCATGTCGTGTTTAAGTATGCCAGTATCTGCATTTCCCAGCCTGATATCTTTATTGTTCTACTTCACTGAGTTTCTGTTGTACTTTCTCTCGTCAACTGCGCTGTTTCCATTATCTTTATCCAGGGTATTAACATGGCGTTTTATCTGTACAAAAAGTTCATCCAGAATAGGAACGAGAACGAATCCCCAAGTAAACCAGCGCCTCGTCGTCCTTGCGAACATCAGAGGATAGTCAGCAATATTTCGGATGGATTCGTTGAACTCGATGACTTCCGTCAACCTGCAAGAGAGGCTACTGATGAGGAATTGATTTCCAGCGGAGGAGGTCGAAAACAGAGCGGCGATTGTCAAACTACCAATGGGCAAGATGGACTTCCGCACTCAGACGAATGTGTTGTTTGCAAAGATAAGCAGGAGGCGATGTCAAAATACCGATGGAAGCTCATGCTGGGCCTGTGTTTTCCTTTCATGGTTCAATCGTTAGATACGACACTCATCGCTGGTGCTGCCGCTTTCATAGCATCGGATTTCAGTACGTCTTCCACGGCCCCTATCCCTGCCACCCTATCGCTAACTTATCTTAGATCAACTATCTCAATTGAACTGGATCATCTCGGCATACAACCTCACAAACGCAACATTCATTCCAATTTGGGGTCAATTCGCCGACGTTTTCGGTCGCTATGCAGCCATCCAATCATCCGCAATCTCAATGCTGCTGGGAAGTGTCCTTTGCGCAGCCGCTCCTACTTCTGCTTTCGCCATGTTCTTGGTCGGACGAGCATTTCAAGGGATAGGTTGTGCTGGTCTTCTCATCGTCACGAAGATCATCCTAGCCGACAAAGTCAACCTCAAAGAAAACGCCGCCAACAACACAGTTTTCACCGTCATAGCAGGCATCGGGTACAGTATCGGGCCAGTTATTGGTGGATATCTTACCCAGGCTTCATGGAGATGGTGTTTCATAATCAACATTCCCATCGGTGTCATCGGACTCATCCTCGCACACTTCATTCTCAGACCAGAACTTCTCGGCCCCCAGAAGATCACCCGTGCAGATGGCGTTGCCGATTCGGAACTGTCCCAAACGTTCGTTGCGAGACTCTCCACGATCGATTTCGGAGGCCAGTTTCTCTTCCTGTTTGGAATGGGACTTTTGGTTCTTGCTCTCACTTGGGCTGGATCGTATTACCCCTGGAGAGATGTAAAAATCATAGCACCTCTCGTCGTTGGCGTTGTACTCCTCATCGCTTTTGCAACTTGGGAATACCTTCTCCTTCCCGGGAACAAGCTCTCCAACCGTGCTCCGACAAGGAAAGCCATGATCCCTATCAAGCTCCTCCTTCGACGCAACGTGGGGCTACTGATCTACATCAATTTCGTCACCGGAATGGCCATGTATGCGGTCTTCTATTTCGTCAGTTTGTATTTCACTCTGGTTAGAGAATTCTCAGCAGGGAAATCTGGGACGAGTCTCATTTATTACATGCCTGGTCTTGGTGGTAAGGATTCCTTCTCCCCTTTCCTCGCCTCTTCTCAGGCCATCGCTCACCCCTCTTCACCCTCTCACCAACTTCAAACTAACATTTCTACCAGGTGGAGCATACCTCGCCATGTATGCCATGGGAAACTGGCCCTGCGCTACCATTCCTCCTCCGCTCCTCCTCGGAACCATCCTCGAACCGCTCGGCATCACCATCCTCGCCTCAGCGCTCAACTCCAACAACCTGCACCTAATCTACGGCATGCTCGCCCTAACTGGAGTCGGTACTGGCATCCGGCTCATGCCGGGTACACTACACGGCGTTGGGTACTTCCCTAAATCAATCTCACACATCGTATCTCTCATGGCATTAGCGAACACGCTCGGAGGCACGCTAGCCACGACGATCATGCTGAATATCTTCAACGGCACGCTGCAGAAGAACGGGATCGATTTCGGGTCCGCCTCGGGCGGCAGTGAGAGTTTCGACGCTATTCGAGGACTGGCGCCTGCTGATCTGGCGTTCTTTAAGGAAAAGGCGACGAGGGGGATTGTGTTGGCTTTTTATGCTATTACAGCGTTTATGTGGTTGGGCGTATTATCTTGCTGTGGGTTGGGGAATGTGAGGATTGTGGGGGATGAACATTGGACTATTGAGGGGAGCTGGTTTGGGCATTTGTTTAGTAAGAGGAATGGGGAGGGAAAGGTTGCTGGGGGTGCGGCTTGATTTGCTGTTTTGAATGGGGTGTGTTTGGATATACTCTGAGGTACAAGCAAAAGGTTAGAGGGATTGGGGGCTTCAATTTGTAGATACTTTCATAGCTTTGTATAAGAATTGATCGTCAGTAGAGTAGCTCCTCTATTTCATTCCGACTACAGAAGCGTGGCAGGGTAAATGAACACACTTTGACGACTGAGTGAGATCGTCCTCAACCTCGCTAAACCATCCAATTTCTAGCGTCCTTAGGGCATTCATGCGCTGTATTTACAGGCTCTTTCGCTTACGTTAACGAACACCCTTGACCCCCTATTCGTCCCTAAACAAAAACACCAGCTCATACCTCCAAATAGACAAACACGGCGCACTCTCACCCCCTACATCAATAGCAAATCAATAACAAAGCCTCCCTGCCACAAAAATCCAACCACCACCGCACCTCCCATCCCTCCCTCTCTCCCATCACCCACCTACCAGGCTCTCCGCCTCCCGATCCACTCCACCTCAACCCGACAAATCGCCTACCTTCACTCCACATCCATCCCACAAAAAAAAAACCCCCTTCATGCCACACATCAGTACCTAGGTACATAGCCTCAAACAGCACATTCTACTCTTCATCGAATCCCCTTCAAAGCGGCTTTAGCTCACTTGGGAGAGCGCCAGACTGAAGAAGCTCAAACTTCAGAACAAGAATATCTGGAGGCACTGTGTTCGATCCACAGAAGCCGCAATATATCTGCGAATCGAGGATGTTACCTTGATTATACGAACACTTTTTTTTACCTTTTTTTTTACCTTTTTTTTTGGGCGTTCTCTCTGTCTCGCTGGAAGAAACGAGTGAGACAGAGCGTTTGCGAGGTAAGGTAGATAAGGTAAGGTAAGGCAAGCGACTTAAGTCAAAATTCAAAAGTCAAAGTTAATCAGTTCAATCCAATTCACTTCAACTGAATATGAAAAGGATGCATTTGAGAACATGTATATTGCATGCTGTTCAAGGACGAGAGGGAGTCGTGCAGTGAGATTTGCTAAACCCTCTACAGTTACTATGTTGCCTTGGTATTCTTCTTCCCCTTTGTTTGCCCCCCCTCCTTCCTCCTTCCTCCCCTGGCTTTCTACTCCCGCTGTTGACCCTACGCCGAGTTCGAATTTACAGAAGGATTTCTTCCGAGCTGAACGTACTGACTGTATGCGCTTGGAATCGAAACTCAAACGTATATACCGTATACGTGGAAGAGGCAGTCTTGCAAGAGTGCCGTACTAGTACTAGTTCTCATGCAGTACCCTCATACCGGGCTACGGTATGTGTGCATTGATTGATTGTATAAACAGCGGAATTTGACTTCGTAAGGAAATGCGTAACTTCGTTATTGACATCTAGCTAAAATATGTGGTATCTCTCGCATCTGATAAAAATCAGCGATACATCAGACAAACTAAACCGTCCTATCCTATCATTTCATGTCCTATTATACAAGCCGATCCGGTCCAGTTCAATCAAAACAGAGAAGCTCCAATCAACAAAGCGTCTTGTACAGAACCTTCCACCTCGGCCACTCACTCCTATCATCCTTCCACTGCCTCCGGACATGGACAGTCTCGAACTCATTCCTCCCCGTCTGGAGGTCAATATCCTTAACTCTCACCCACTTCGTCCTATACCAGATCTTATAATACGCATAGAAGAGCAACACGACCGGCATAGCCAGGTACGCCTCGAAGAAATTGACCGCTTGTTCCCCAGCTGTCCGATCGCTACTCGCTCCCGACGGCGAGATAGCGACCCAGAACTGCGCAGCCAGGATGGCGATCAGGGCCGAGAAACCGACCCAGGACCCTATCTCGCCGATGGGGGACTGGTAGACGAGGTCTGAGAGGAGGTTGCCCTGCTCTTTCCACGCTTTGCGGAATTGGATGTGTGCGTAGCAGATGCTGCACCAGGTGAAGATGCTGGAGAGACCCGAGAGAGCGAGGAGCCAGGTGAAGGCCTCGCCTTGAATGGATGAGACGTAGAGGTAGGCGAGGAGCCCGACGGCGGAGCTGATCCCGATTGCGACCATGGGACGTCCTTTGCGGTCCACATAGGCGAAGATGCGCGGGGCTTGGCCTTGTTCGCCCAGAGCTTGGAGAGTGCGTGTTGCGCCGTACATGGAGGAGTTGGCTACGGAGAGAACGGCGATCATTACTACGGCGTTCATAACGCTATCGAGGCCTTGGATGCCGGCGGATTGGATGGCGATGATGAAGGGGGAGGCTTTGGAGTCGACGTTGTTACGGCCGATGAGCCGCTCGTCGGTGTAGGGTACTAGAAGGCCGACAACCGTAATGGAAACGATGTAGAACTGTGGCGGTTAGCATGTTGGAGGACATGAGGGGATATAGATACTCACGAGAGCAATTCGCCAGAATACCTGCTTGATAGCGGTAGGTAAGGCTTTGCTGGGGTTGTGAGTCTCGGCTGCTGCGAGGCCAACAAGTTCTGTACCCGAGAAAGAGAATGCGGCTGTTACGAGGATATTGCAGAATCCCTTGAAGCCATTGTGGAATGCGCCTGGATTGCTCCAGTATTTACCTCCAATGTACCCACTATCTTGCGTTCCACCACAATTGATGACAACACCAAGGATGCTGGTCCTGGATTAGCGACGAGTCTATAGGACGGTACCAGTCTACTTACATGAATCCAATAACAGCTGCGACTTTCAAGATCGAGAAAGTATATTCGGCTTCTCCGTAGACCTTCACTCCACACAGGTTGATGCCGACAATGAGGATCAAGAAGATCGTGATAGCGACCCACGATGGGAGATTTAGATTCCAGTACTCGAGTGTTATAGCCGCAGCCATAACTTCCAAAGGCATGGTGATTGCCCATTGCATGGCGTAATTCCACCCTGAAGCAAACCCCCATGCAGGGTCGATAAAGCGCGTGGCGAATGCCGAGAAAGACCCCCGCCACAGGAAAAGTGACGGCCATCTCACCCAAAGCCTGCACCGTACAGAACAACACAGCTCCGATCAGAATGAATGCTAGAAGAAGAGACGCAGGACCGCCAGTTGCTAGAGCTGATCCTGAACCGATGAAGAGTCCGGTACCTGAATTTCAAGATCAGCGGGCTGCTCACGTGAGATGCACGAACGAAAAAGATGGGATGAAAGGTACCTATCGAGCCACCGATGGCTATCATCTGAAGATGTCGTCCTTTGAGCCTCCTCACGAGGATGGTATTTGCTGTATTCCAAGCAGCTGCTTTCTGGTTGTAACTCCGACCATTTTCTCCTATCGCTGGCGCATGGCCATGTGAAGGGCCACTCCTGAAGCTGTCGAAGGCCTTCGTCGTCGGGAAACTCTTCACTCCCTTCGGTCTTGTGAGTAACGGGGTGACTGTCGACGTCGACGCTGTGTACGTCTTTGTGTTTTCCATCTTTATGAAGCCGTCATCCATGGGTGTTGGTCGGGGCGAGAGCGAATATCACAAGGTCGTGGTCATGGATGTTTGGAGGTTGAATTAATGAAGAGGTAAGAACAAGAACAGTCCAGTCCCTAGATTCGATGGAGATTGCCAAGCGGGTAAGCTGACCCTCGACCGTTCTCGGCTCCTCTCCTGTCCTAAGCTGTCCTGTCCTATCCTATCCTGAGCTGTCGTGGCCTGGCTGGGGATGAGAACTGAGCTAGGAGAAAAACTGGGACGGATGTTTAATAATTATGGGTTGGACTGGACCATGCGTGGGAGAGGTGGACATGTGCTCTGTCTGCGCCGTTTTTGTTGTCCGGGATGGCAGCACATCACACAGATGGTCGCCGACCCGCAGGTAACTAGGTACAGTACAGTACTGTAGATATAATTGATTCGAGATAAGAAAACGGAAAGTTCGTTCGAACTTCGCCTCGTGCTTGTCCTGTTCCCAGGCCGGACATGCGGTAATGAGGGGGTTCAGGGTACTTTAGTTTGCCAAGTTAGTCCTACTTCGGGCTGGTGGGATGTACTTGTACTTGTACAACCGGGTATCGTGTGCATGGATATGATGTGGGTGGATGGGCATGGGCCGGAGGTGGTACATATGGCATGAAGAAGACGAGCAGGGAAAAGCGACAAGGGAAGTGAAAAGAGGCGAGAAGGCTGGCTGGCCTGGTTGCGAAAGAAAGAAAGAAAGAAAGAAAGACCTCGGCGCGCAAGGTTCGTCGTCAGGGGTACAAATATTATTGTATTGTGAAGCGATCGATCAAACGTTGGTGGACTCGGGAGGATGGCCCAAGATGTGCCGAGTAGTGGACGCGGGTGCGGATGCGGATGTTGATGTGGATGTGGACTCGAAGGGAAGGGATTTTACTTGGTGGCGCAGATTCGCCCAGACCAAAGTGTGAGTGAGTGAGTGACCAGTGAGTGACCAGTGACCAGTGCAGCAGTGCAGCAGCAACTGGATAACGAAAGTGGAATGTCTCACAAACCCATACAGTACCTCGAGTCGAAATCGAAACCCCTCATCCAGCTCCCAGTATTCAGGAGTCCTGACTCTACTCCGTATTGGACTGTACTGTTCTGCAGGCTCATCTGTACTGTACCTATGTGATCATAGCCGCATCTGACGACCCTAATGATCTGATCAGCGCTATCAAAGATTACTTACAGTAGTAGAACCCCCAACCTCACGCGTCGACTGGTGCTCCATGCGCTGAGCCCTCTTCCTTCCTTCTTGGCCTAATATGGCGACATAGCAAATTCGAGATTGCTCTCTAGAGACTCAACTGAGGGAAAGCCCACTTGATTCGACACCGAGCCTCTTCGGATCACATCACCCGCCCAGCTCAGGAGATTCGGACTGCGTTGAGATGGACCGACTGGACTGACTGGCTTTGATACGAAGGTTACGCCCCAGATGGGATTCAATGTCCCACGCCAATAACATGCCGAGCCACCATCCAGCACGGAATGAATCTCTAAACCAATCCCAACAAAGTCCATCCTGCATTCATACCATGTCCATCTTCAATCCTGATAGACCAATGGCCCGAATTTTCCTGCCGCGAATGACAGGTGAGTCCGAGCTTCGCCTTCGTCTTCTTCCTTCCCTTCCCCAGCTTGATACACGTCCGAATGAGGAAGGTGATAAGATAGTCCCAAATGAACGGCTCCGTATGGGCAGCGAGTTGCCTTAGCCTGCGGAGAATAAAATAAAACAAAATCATAGAAAAAAAGGGGGATTTGTACACCAAACGGTATTTGTCTTGCAGGCGGCCGCGATATACTTGCTGCAACAGCGCAGTGCAATTGGCTGGTCGGACTGGCGCAGGAGAGAGGGCTAGGCCTAATAGCGAAGCTGGTCCGACTACAAAAGCGCCGCCGAGCGGCGTTACTGTTCCACTAGCTGTTCTGCAGCCCCCTGTCCTAGGTACATGCAGTACAGGCACGGAACCTTTGGTACGGACCTGAGGGCGTTTCCAGTTCCCAGCTTTTCGCTTAGCTGCCTGTGCATCTTCAACCTCTCTCCTGCATCGCTCTGGCTATTTTTTCCATGCCACTTCGCCATCCCAGACGGCGAAGCGGGTCGGGCTTGGATAGTCCTGCCATCAATGCTCGATATTCCCACGTGGAAGACATCTTGGCAGGCAGGGCAAATGACAGTCAGCCCAGGTCTTGGTCCTGTCACCGTCAACGCCTCTCGCAGACGTCCCTGGTGATAATATCCCTATTCCATGGTTCCCACGAGTTGCCCCCCGTCCAGCTCAAGCTT